ATATGCAGGGAAAGAGGTTTTATTTTCTCTAGAGATAGGTGGAGAAATCTATTTAGATGGCGGATTTTAATTTCAATGGGTAATGTGAGCTTGTGCAATCAAAGTTATCAATTTCTGTCCTTTTTGTTTAGATTTCTTAGTTAAATGTGTTTGTTATATCTACCCCGAGGAGAAGCAACTTGAAAGTGTAGCTTTTGAGTCATCTTATAAATACATCCCTGAGGCTGCGGTTCTTGCCGCTTTAAGCAGTTTTCATTAAAGCAGCCAGCTGCCTCTTTGTGTAGATTGGAWTTTTTTTAAGCAATCACTTGTGAAGCCCCGGCCTCAGTTTTGTCTCTCCGCAGGCCCTTAAAGTTGAAGTTTCATTCATGTCTTGGGTCTCTCCGCCGAATCAGACTCCTCGGAGCAACACTGGAAAGAGCCACACGAAAGCACAGGCTTGAATACCTCATAGAGAAAGGTTAAAAAGGAAGCAGAGATCAAAACAATCCCATCTCACAAAAGGTGCATTAAATGCGCCCCAGCAATAAGCACAAATCTTCCAAGTTGGCCTTTAAAGCGAGCACCAGGAGCCTCACGTTTATTGCACCCAGCAATTCTCTGAGCGACTCTCCGCGTCTTTGCACTCCTGGCGCATTTCCTCCTAAAACAACATCTAATGGGTAGATAATAGAGACGCGGAAAGGAGGCGCGGGGATTTCTCCCCCTCCTCCTTCCCTTTTAGCTGCGTGAGTCTATCTCAAGATTTGGAGATCAGAGTTTAAAAAAAAAAAAAAAAAGCTTTTCACCTCTAAACACAACAGGCATATGCAAATATATATTCCCCACCCTACAGCCGCACGCATCCAAACGCACACAGGAGCGTGCGTTTGGGGAGCGTTCCTCCAGCCCCCCGAGCCGGGGAGGCTGAYGAGCGGCGGCTGGAAGCCGAGGCTCGCTAGGAACGAGCCGCGCTCTTGTTTTGCTGCTGGAAATGCAGCTTTCTCTCCGGCACGCATGGAGTTGAAACACCAGGGAGCCCAACATCTCGTCAGCCGGAGCCCGCCGCGGGAGCCGGGGGCGGGTGGCGGGCAGGGGACCCCCAGGTAGGGAGATGGGGGCCGGGCGGGGGSCGGCCAGAGGACTCCCGCAACCCGCCCGCGTCTTTCTGTGTGCACCTGATGTGTATGCAGCACCTCGCCTCCCAGCCAGGAGTCAGCTCCAGTTAAGTGGCGCTCTATGTATTTTATAGCGAATATTCTCGAGTAGCTGCACTGCAATGAAGGAGATATCAAGGAGGCCTGTCAGTTCAAAGCTTTTGGGGTTGTTTGAAAATCTTCTTCACGTCAAAGTAAGCAGCCCTAGTATTTGAACAGCTGCTTTGAACAGTGAAAAGGGCTGAGCTGAATCAAAACACTGCAGTGTCTGCCCAAGACACCGCATCACCTTCAACCTGCTTTTATGCGAGCAGAGAAAAGGAAAGAAAGGCTGGTGAGACCTCTAATCCCGCGGGGTCAGCTCTGCCAGAAAGGGGCCACATGACTGTCTCTTTTACATCCCGAGCGGGCCGGACCTGAGCGGCGACCGGAGCCGGAGCCCGCGGCGGGCAGCGGCGAGGCGACAAGACCGGCGGTCGGGCGCTCGCTCCCCGCTCCCCGGCGCTCCTCTCCACGGGGGGAGATAAGAGCGGAGGATGCTTAAGGAGCGGTATTAATGACAGGGCTAACAATGATGGGGAGGACGAGGAGGTGGAGTCTGTGGCGGCTCTGAATGCACCGGCCGCKCTCCTCGCTGCTCCCAGCTGCGCCTCCATAGGCGTGCGCTCCGCCGGGGAGGGGGCAGGAGGGACGGCGGGGGGCTCTGCCGGGGAGACGGGGTTTTGTCCGCCTCCTAAGGCCGCGGTGCTACTTCGGTAACTGTGATTACCGTTAGCTCGTGAGWTCTGTCGCTGGGGCGGCGGGGGTGAGAGGCACGCAGGACGGTGACTGTAGGCAGGCAGCACCTGCCAMAGGGCCAGACAGGACAGAGAGGGCCGGGCAGGGGGAGCAGGAAATGCACGACTGGGGCAGGCCTGGAGGGGTTTTTTTCCCCAGAAAAGTGTTGGTTGAAACTCGCTGCCCCCCGTGTCCCGTCTCCTGGTCGTGGCGAGCCGCGGGGAGCGCGGTGCTGTCGGCATTCCACGGGGACCAGCTGTCCGTGGGGCGTGCACACACCGTGGGGCCAGGGCACAAGGGAGGTCCCTCGGACGACCACCGGGATAGGTCCGCGCTCGGCGAGCACCGCACGCTGGAGGCGCCCGCCGGAAAACCTCGCTCTCAAAATGACGCGTGGCGTGGCCCCTCGTGTCTCGTCCACGCACGAACTTTTGGCAGCGGACCCGGAGGCGGGCTGGCGGGAAAGCCGCCCCCGGCAGAGCCTCGGCGGCCCCAGAAGCGGGGAGGGAGGGCTGGCCCGGGCGCGGAGAGCGGGGCGGCTCTCCCAGGACGGTCCCCGCGATGCCTTGGCGGAAGCCTGCTGCGGACTTGCCCTGTTGTTTTGTTTCAACTCACTGGTCTACACCTAATTGGGAGGAGAGACGAGAAAATGAGCATCAAATTATAAAATTCCTGGGTGCCCAGTTGTTTACACACGGGAAACAAAAGGCAGAGCTYCACTTCAGAGACACTGACTTCCCTCTCCACAACCCTCGCAGAACAGGCAGTATTGTTCTTCCCTTCTCCTGCACCTCGAAGAAAGGGAGAATAAAAAAAAAAACCAAAAAAACAAAAAAACAAAAAAAAAAAACCCACCCTTAGGAAGAATCTCCACTCTTTCATGGACAAAGTTTGCGCCCCCCCGCCTCTCCCCCTCCTCCTTCCTCCCTTCCCTCCCCACCCCCCGGCAGAAGGAGCTCTTGATACGCCGCTAAACTAACGAAACGAGGTAACTCCTGCTGCGCCCCTTGTCTCAGRGCACTGGATATCCTGTTTATGCTGCTGCTGCTGTGTATATGTTTATGTGCAGGAGCCCATCCCCCCGCTCCTCCACACCCCCACGCAGAGGAATATTTCCAGGGAAAGGAGCCTTTCCAGCGCTCACGTTAAATACGATGATYTATAAACAACTCGCAGAAGAAAGCTGTTTCTTGTTAGTAGTAATAAATTCCCCGGTCCGCCCTATTGTGTTATTTCGATGAAGATAGCGGGAGCCTGAGACGCGCACCTACCCCCGTTAGCAGTTTATTTTCGAGACAAAGCTATGGCTTTCAGCTCAAAAATGGGCAGCGAACTCTTTTCGCGTTGGCCAGCCTGGCGCTGCTCATTCCTAGGAAATCCGAATCCAGTTCCAGGGTCTCCTTCCTTCCTGTCCGGGCCGCAACTTCTTTCTTTTTCCCTATTCCCCTCTTTTATCCCTGTTTTTTTGGTTTTTTTTTTTTTCCCTTTCTCTACCACCCTCTCATCCCCATCTTCCGTATCCATGCAGAGTCGCCAGCGCCGCTGAGGCGGTYCCGCAGGCATACTGTCCCCACGGGACGGGACAAGCGGAACAAAACCACCTCCGCGGTGCCGAGGTGCGAAGCCCCGAGATCCCCGGAGGAGCGGTGCGCTCCGGCGACCACCGGGTGCCGGGAGGAGAGCAGGGCCGGCGGGCAGGCAGGGGGCTGCCCGCTCCCCGCCCCCGGGGGCGCGGCGCTCCCGGGGCGCTCCGGCGGGGCTGGCTGCGAGGCGGCGCTGAGAAAGTTGGGGGCGGGCAGGCGGGCATCCCCCGGCCCGCAGCACCCGCTCCGGGGCGGCGCGGCCGCGCTCCGCGCAGAGACGCGCGTCGGGGCGCGAGCAACAGGAGCCGGCGGG